TTGAGGCCAACCTGATCTACAGCACAAGTTCTAGGATAGACTCCAAAGCCACACAAAGAGACCCTGTTTCCAAAAAAAAAAAAAACAAGTTTTATGGAAATGAGTATTTGAAAGTTTGTATTACACTTGTTATATTAAAATATGTTGGCATGATTTAAAATATCCTTCATCAGCCAGATAATGATTATAGAACACTTAATTCTAGCACTTGAGGCAGATCTGAGTTTGAGGTTGGCCTAGTCTGCAAAGTGAGTTCCAGGACAGCCAGGGCTCCACAGAGAAAACCTGTCTTGGAAAAAACATACATACATACAAAAGGAGGCCAGTGAGATGACTCAGCAGGTAGAATCACACATGTGAAGACTCACGTGCTCATTAATTGTCTACATATTCTCCTACACATACCATGTACACATACAATAATAAAAAATATCTTCGTTTCTACATTGAAGGAGGCCTGCTGCAGGAGCATGCTCTTCACCAAAATGCCTCTCTTCAGTCCCAGGGGCTCATGTCCCCAGATGGTGACAGAGGTGCTGGGGGTTATCCTTGATGGTTCCTGTCTCCCCTCTTCCTGGTTTGGACACCATGTGAAGTAGTGGCAGCTGCAGGCTCCCGCCACCTCGGACTGAAGCAGCTCTGTCCTGCCTTCTCTGCTGCAAGGACGGACTCCTGAAAGCATGTCTCAGACCTTTGCTCCTGCTGTGGTGGGCATTTGCCACAGCTGTGAGAAAGGGAACCACTGCATATGGAACAGGAATGGGGTAGTTCCCAAATAAGACATCGCTGCTGCTGCCAGTGACCACGGATGCTTGTTTGTGTGGTCAAGGGTGCCCTCTCTTGATTTTTTTTTTTAATTTAATTTAATTATTTATTTATTTGGTTTTTCGAGACAGGGTTTCTCTGTAGCTTTGGAGCTTAAACCGGAACTAGCTCTTGTAGACCAGGCTGTCCTCAAACTCACAGAGATTCACCTTCCTCTGCCTTCCGAGTGCTGGGATTAAACGTTTGCACCACCACCACCACCTGGTCTAATGCCCTGACTTTCACAACTGCTTCCGTTATTTTAAACTTACTGACAGCACTTGGTGTTGGTTTATGAGTTAGCTCGTATTTGGCAAGGAAGCAGCAGTGTTGTTTGTCGAGTCTTTGCCACACCGAGGCAGTTTAGTTTCTTAGCCTGATACTGTTTGTGCTAAAGGAGCATTTATCCCATGAAGACAAGTCACAGCAGGTGCAAGGGGGCTCATTCCATTGACTTAATTTCAGCCTGTAACAAAATATAGGAGGAATTAGGTAAGAAATTGACTAAGTACTGTGCTTCTGGTGGCTCAAGTATGGCTAAAGTCTATATTGTAGTGAGGGTGAGATTATCTGTTTTACCTCCTAAAAGAAAACTCAAGCCCAGCGGTGGTGGCGCAAACCTTTAATCCCAGCACTCAGGAGGCAGAGGCCAGGGGCAGACGCGTCTACAGAGTGAGTTCCAGGACAGGCTCCAAAGCTACACAGAAACCCTGTCTTGAAAAACCAAAACAACAGCAGAAAAAAAAGAAAAGAAAAAGAAACAAAACTCAAGGCTTCAATCCCAGCACTTGGGAGGCAGAGGCAGGCCGATCTCTTGAGTTCGAGGTCAGTCTGGCCTTCAAAGTGAGTTCCAGAATAGTCAGAGATACATAGAGAAACCCTATTTGGGGGGGGGGGGACAGAAAGAAAAAAAGAATACTTCTCTTGAACCTGTGAATTGTTGAAACTTCTAATGTTGAATTGAAATTCCCCAACCTTTTCTTCCATTTTTTAATTCATGGCAGGCACCAAACACAGACCACGCGCATGTCAGGCGAGCACTCTCCCACTGAACTCTATCCCTAAAGCTGAATTTGCGTCTCTGTGATTGTGCTTGTCGCTTTGGTTGTTCTTGCTTTGAGAGTGGAACTCTTCTGTCCCAGGCTGGCCTATAACTTGTTAGGTAACCGAGAGCGGCCGGCCTTGGGCTCCTGGTTGTCCCGAGTACTTGATTCTAGGCATGTGATTTTGTACCTGGCTTATTTAATGCTGACACACTCAAACCCAGGGCTCCTGCACAATCGGCGAGCCCTCTGCCAACTAAGTTATTCCCACTTTGTTTTGTTTTTGCCTACATGTTTGTATGTGTACCATGTGTATGCCTGGTGCCCACAGAGGCCAGAAGAAAGTGTCAGACCCCTTGGAACTGGAGTCACAAACAGTTGTGAGTCACCATGTGAGCTCTGGGAATTGAACCCAGGTGTCCTCTGAAAGAAGAGCAAGTGCCAGCCGGGCGGTGGTGGCGCACGCCTTTCGGGAGGCAGAGGCAGGCGGATCTCTGTGAGTTTTTTGTAGACCAGCCTGGTCTACAAAGGGAGTTCCAGGACAGGCTCCAAAGCTACAGAGAAACCCTGTCTCAAAAAAACAAAAACAAAAAAAAACAAACAAACAAACAAAAAAAAAAAAACAAGAAGAGCAAGTGCCATTAGCTGATGAGCTGTCTCTCAAGCCTCTGCCTAACTATGAGATTGGCCTTGTGATTGGTAAGCAAGTGCCCTCTGCGCTGCACTACAGCCACAGGCCCAAGACTATCTAGCTCAGAGAGAAATGGCTTTTTGGTTTTGTGTTTTGGAGTTTCAGTTTTTCAAGACAGGGTTTCTCAGTCCTGGAACTCTCTCTGTAGGCCACGCTGGCCTCGAACTCACAGAGATGTGCCTTTCTCTGCCTCCCAAGTGCTGGGGATTAAAAGGTGTACATCACTACTACCTGGCGAGAAGAATGGCTTTTGGAGATTCTGAGAAATGACATTGATTCCTCTTCCCCAGTCCTTAAGAAAGGGTGATATCAGGGAAGAGGGATACATTTCTAGAAGCAAGACTGAGATTGCTTGGAGTAAGTTTACAATTTTTTTTCTTGTTTTTTTTTTTTTGTTTGTTTGTTTTCTGAGACAGCGTTTCTCTGTATCTTTAGCTGTTCTGGAACTCACTCTGTAGACCAGTCTGGCCTCAAACTCAAAAGACTGACCTGTCTCTGCCTCCCAAGTGCTGGGATTAAAGGTGTGCGCCACTGCCACCTTGCACGCACCAGCAAGTTTATATTCTTGACCTTCATCTGGAATCCAATCTTGCTTTGGTTTAGTTTGGGTTTTGTTGTTTTGTTTCGAGACAGGGTCTCTCTGCGTAGTCCTGAATGCCCTGGAACTCACTGTGTAGACTAGGCTGTCCTCAAACTCCCAGAGATCTGCCTGCCTTTGCCTCCAGCATGCTGGAATTGGAGCCCAGTCTTACTGTGTGTGAGAGTGTTTATATTTGTCCATGTATTCTCTTTTCCTACCAATCAATAATAACAAAAATGTTAGTTTCTTGCACTAATAGCCCCACAAACTCTGGTGCTGTTGGTCCCCTCCCCTTGTTTAAAGTTATTTCAATTTTGATGTTTAAAAATTTCTGAGAAAGGCTGGAAAGATGACCTAGACATTAAGAATGCACGCTGCTTTTGCAGAGAACCCAGCTTCAGTTCCTGCACCACATTGGATGGCTCACAACTGTCTGTGACACCAGTTCTCTGGAGATCCAGCGACTCTGGCCTTTGCAGGCACCCACACTCATGCACATAACTAGACTCAGACATACACGTAATTAAAAATAAGCCTTTTAGCCAGGTGTGGTGGCTAAGGCCTTTAATTCCAACCTTTAAGAGACAGATGGATTTCTGTGAGTTGAAAGCCAGCCAGATACACACAGCTAGACTCTGTCTTAGAGGGGAGGAGTTGTAAAATGCGAATCTCTTACTAAAAAATTATAGCTGGGGGGCAGGGAACCCTGATTGCTCTTTGGGCTGACGAGGGAGGGGGATTTGACTGGGGGAGGGGGAGGGGAATGGGAGGCGGCGGTGGGGAAGAGACAGAAATCTTTAATAAATAAAAAAAAATTATAGCTGGGGGTGGTAGCGGTGGCGCGCGCCTTTAATCCCAGTACTCAAGAGGCAGAGGCAGGAAGATCTCTGGTAGAGACCAGCCTAGTCTACAGATCTAGTTCTAGGATCACTAAGGCTATACAAAGAAATTTTGTCTCAGAAAAAAACAAAACAAAAAAAAAAAACTGCATTCTGCTCTTGTGGAGACCAGAGTTCAGTTCCCAACACCTATCTTGTGGTTTACAGCCAGCATCCTATAGCACAAGTTTCATGGGTTCAACACTTCTGGCCTCCTCAGGAATCTGTACTCACTGACACATGCACTCACATAAGTAAAAATAAAATTTTAAGCGTTTGCTTATGTATCTTATGTATACAAGTGCTTTGTCTATACACTAGAAGGGTGCACTGGACCCAGCTATAGATGGTTGTAAGCCACCATGTGGTTGCTTGGATACGAAATCAGGACCTTTAGAACAGTAGAGCAGTCAGTGCTCCTAACTGCTGAGCCATCTTGCCAACCCCCAATAAAATCTTAATTTAAAAAAAGAAAAAAGTAAAGGTTTTGGATAAGCTGGACATAATGATTGGTATGTACCTGCGATCCTAGAAGTGGGGATTAGGATTCCTAGTTTGAGGCCAGGGTGGGCTGCATGGTGAGACCCTGACTCAAGAGCACACAGCAAACAAAGTAAGTTTAAGATACGTTGCTGCCAGGTAGTGGTGGTGCACGCCTTTATTCCTAGCACTTGGGAGGCAGAGGCAGGCAAATCTATGTGAGTTCCAGGACAGGCACCAAAACTACCGAGAAACCCTGTTGGAAAAAAACAAACAAACAAGATAATTTAAAAGATATGTTAAGATGTGTTGCCACCCAGGTTTCCTTCTAGATAAAATTCCAGTTTTTCAGCATTGCTTTATGTGTTTGCCGACCGCATTGTGGCGATTGTACGTGTCTCAGCTGTTGTACTGGTGCCCTTTCTTGCATCTGAAAGAATCATTGTTTCCACAAACCTAGAGTCAACTGAAAATCAGTGAAAGCTACTTAGGAAATGTTAACCAACTGATGTAATCTCTTCCAGGGCAGTTGTATGACGGCTACGATGAAGAGTACGGTTGTCCCATTTTAGATGAAGATCGAGTAAGTATGACTGAACAGACAAGCGGGCCTTTGTTAGCTTTTTGGGAAAGTCGGTTTCCGTTTTTCTTAGGGCCATTATCCATCTATCTGTTGTGTGTCTATTGCAGGTCGTTGATGAGTTAGAGAGTCAGATGAGCGAAGGCGGCGTTATCGTTGATTACCATGGTTGTGATTTCTTTCCTGAACGCTGGTTTCATATAGTTTTTGTGTTGAGTACAGATAATAGTATACTGTACAAAAGACTTGAAACACGGTAAGGAAAAGAAAAAAAACACTGATTTTGGTTTGGATTTTTGAGACAGGGTTTCTCTGTGTAATAGTCCTGGCTGTCCTGGAACTCACTCTGTGGACCAGATTGGCCTTGAACTTAGAGGTCTGCCTGCTTACTGCCTCCCAAGTGTTAGAGTTAAAGGCAGTGTACCACCACTGCCCAGCTTCAACTGAAAATTTGATTTAGTAAAATATAAGAGATAGAAACCCCCAAATAGCCAGGCGGTGGTAGCACACAGCTTTAATCCCATTTAATCCCAGCATTTGGGAGGCAGAGGCAGGCGAATTTCTGTGAGTTCAAGGTCAGCCTGGTCTACAAGAGCTAAAAGAAAGAAACCCCCAAATAATGCTTTATCCTTGATACAAGGCCTTTCCTACAAGAAGAGTCAAACAATAGTATTTTTAGTTTGAACACTACTCATTCAAATTATCCATACATCAAGGGGGAAGTTTATGAAGATTAACAAGATAACAGCATTTCACAATCATTAAAATACATTTTGGGGACTGGAGAGGTTAAGAGCACTGGCTGCTCTTCCAGAGGTCCTGAGTTAATTCCCAGCAACCACATGTTGGCTCATAACCATCTGTAATGAGATCTGGTGCCCTCTTTTGGCCTGCATGGATAAATGCAGAACACTGTATACATAATGTATATATTCATGTGTGTGTATATATGTATATATGTATGTGTGTGTGTGTTGGACCTACCCACATAGAACATTAGATTTAACCAGAAAAGGGAACTTGGAAGAAAACTTTTTTCTGATATCTTTTGATCCAGACTATAGGCAGGTGGAGAGTCTAGAGGGAGTTAGCAGACAGTATCAGAAAGAAAAGCTCCAGAATTTTGTCAAATCTAGGGTCAGAATGGCCAGCTCTGATTGGCCAATGGGATGCGTGTAAAATCCTTGCACAGAGGACAAGGAGTAAATATATGACAAACTAGGCTAAGCAAGATCTAAATTTCCATCTTTTTCTTTAAATAGTGAAAAGCCACTATAAACCTTTTTTAAAAGATTTATTTATCTAAGCATACAGTGTTCTGCCTGCGTGTATGCCTGTGGGCCAGAAGAGGGCACCAGATCTCATTATAGATGGTTGAGAGTCACCTGAACTCAGGGCTTCTGGAAGAGCAAGTTTAGAGAGTACATGGCCATATTGTCAAAGGTCACTGATTCCTGAAGCTTAGATGTTAAGGAGACACTATTATTCCTGTAGACTCGATGATGAAGACCACTGACCCAAATTATGGCCAAACTAAAGCAAGCTTTATTCGTGTTCACATCAAGGCAGGATTCATGAGACCAGCCTCAAGCCAATTTCCCATACCCCTCCCTGCTTTTAGGGCAAAACTGCAAGGTGGGGTATTTCCTTTTTTTTCCAAGCAAGTGTGGTTACAGAAGTGAGACCAGGCAGGTAGGATTTTAGAAAGCAGCTAAGGAAATTGTCCTGGAGCATTTGTTACACAGAATATTTTTTTAAATACTTATTTATTATGTATACAGTATTCTGTCTGTGTGTATGCCTGAAGGCCAGAAGAGGGCACCAGACCCCATTACAGATGGTTGTGAGCCACCACATGGTTGCTGGGAATTGAACTCTGGACTTTTGGAAGAGCAGGCAATGCTCTTAACCTCTGAGCCATCTCTCCAGCCCTATACAGAATATTTTATGATTGGGAGTGGGGCGCAGCCCTGGTCTGAAAAACAGAAACTTAACTACAAGTACAAAGTGGCTTCTAGGAACAAAATGGAGTTGGTCTGGCTCTTCAACTGCCATCATTGTTTTTCTCTATTGCTATCAAAGGCTCCAAATGACCTCAGTGGCTTTTTAGCAATCGAAGGCATGGATGCCATGTCTAAGGGTTCTCTGGCCCCTCAGCTTTTTAACTGGCTGTTTAGTTGATTATTTTATATACTGCCTAAATATTATATAAATTCTTTTATTATCTTTGGGATTAGTAAAATACAGATAACATTTTTATGATGAATTATCTAATCGGTGTATGATATTCCATGTTCTCCTTTGTGTATACTGTCTGTCTTTCATAAATTCTTTTTTTTTTTTTTTTTTTTTGTTTTTCGAGACAGGGTTTCTCTGTGGTTTTGGAGCCTGTCCTGGAACTAGCTCTTGTAGACCAGGCTGGTCTCGAACTCACAGAGATCCACCTGCCTCTGCCTCCCGAGTGCTGGGATTAAAGGCGTGCGCCACCACCGCCTGGCCCATAAATTCTTGCTATGGATCCTTTACTCCTATTTGAGAATCTGACTTGAGGTGGGTACTTGTTTATTGACTAATTGATTGGTAATTATATGAGCAGCTAATAAACTAGCAAGGGATTGAGATAAACTCAAATGTAGTGTCATAATTCTTACTTTAGCTCTCATGTCAAAGAAGTCTCGTGCAGATGCTATTCAATTTCTCTAGGCAAGTAGATTATGTGAAGTATCTTAGGTAATTGCTGATATATTCACAGTGTCCAATCTCTGACTTGTTCCCGAAGCCATATTTAATACCATTCTGTTTGCTTTACCTCTCTGCCTTCCAGGGGTTATAATGCCAAGAAACTACAAGACAACATTCAGTGTGAGATTTTCCAAATTCTTTATGAAGAAGCCAGAGCATCTTACAGAGAAGAAATTGTGCACCAGCTGCCCAGTAATGAACCAGAGCAGCTAGAGGATAACATCAACCAGATCTCAAAGTGGATTGAGCAGTGGGTCAAAGATCATAACTCTTGACCTAGAGGAGGTTAGCCAGGCGTGGTGGTACACACCGTTGATCCCAGATCCTGGGAGGCAGAAGCTGTTCCACTTAGTGAGTTCTAGGCCAAGCAGGGCTATGTAGTTAAGACTCTGTCTCAAAGGGAGTGTGGGGGAACCAGCCTGGCCACTGTATAGCTACCCTTGTTGATATCACTCAGTCACGTAACAGAATGCCCAAAGATCAGCAGAGAAAACTATGTTGCAGCTCTAGCTGCTGCCTGGATTTCTTTTTCTCCATGAGAAAGCTTAAAGAATCTCAGATACTAATATAAGTTATTTTATTAAGGATTAAACCTAAAAAATCAAACTCAGTGGATAATAAATCTGGTCAATGGGTACATATCTTTTAAATTTACTAAAATGTAGGTGATCTCTCAAAATAAAAATGGAAAACTAAAGATTCACCAGAGTATTGCTTTTTTATTTTAAACATCAGAGGGGACTGATGAGCTGGTTGAGTAAATAAAGCACTCGACACCAAGGCTGAGGACATGAGTTCCGTAGAAGGAGAGAACCGACATCCCGCAGACACACGTGCATACACAAAAGTGGGTTTAATAACTGGAGGGCTGGGGATGGCTCAGTGGATGAAGTGTTCACCTCGCAAGCACAAGGCCAACCGCTGTGCCTGTAAACAGCACTGGCGGTAGAGGCACCCCTTGGGGCAAGCAGGCAACTAGACCGGCTGGAGTGACTCGCTCTGGGCTCAGCAAGAGACTGCTTCAATAACATAATGATCAAGGAAGACAACTTTGGGCTTCCCCATGTGTGTCCCCAAGAGTGCCCACACATACAAACATGCTCTTTGGCCAACCGAGCCTACTTCATGGGTTACAGGCTACGGTGTTTAAGGAATGTCCAAGGTGGTTCTCTGGCCGCACACACACACACACACAAAATGACATCATGCACGTTATTCTGTATTTTGTGAGGTTTGTATTATCTTAGTGGTGATGTACACCTTTAATCTCAGCTGTCAGGAAGCAGAGGCAGGCAAATCTCTGTAAGTTTGAGACCAGCCTGATCTACAGAGCTAGTTCCAGAATAGCCAGGACTACACAGAGAAACCCTGTCTTGAAAAGCAAAATATAACAAAAAGAAAATAGCTCTCACTGGGTGGCGATGACGTATGCCTCTAATCCCAGCACTCGGGAGGCAGAGACAGGCAGATCTCTGTGAGTTCGAGGCCAGTGTGGTCTACAGGAGCTAGTTTCAGGACAGGCTCCAAAAGTTACAGAGAAACCCTGTGGGGGGGGGGGATAGCTCTCAATTGTTTTTTAGATACTTTTTACTATCTTAAAATTCCGGTTTTAAAATTTGATGTACAGATGTTGTAGGGGTGTGGCTCAGCGATGGCATGCATGATTAGATGTATGCCGCATGTCTTGGTCACCTCCATTGCTGTGAAGAGACACCATAACCAAGGCAGCTTATAAAAGAAAGCATTGACTCAGAGGGTGAGTCTGACCAGGCAGGGAGCATGTTGGCAGATAGGCAAGCATGGCACTGGAGCAGTAGCTGAGAGCTCACATCTGATCCACAAGCAGGAGGCGGAGAGACTGGGCCTGGTTAGTGCTTTTGAAACCTTAAAGCCCACCCCTTACCCCCCTGACACACCTCCAAAAAGGCCACACCTCTTAACCCTTCCACCAGCTAGGAACCAAGCATTCAAAAATATATGAGCTTATGGGGGTTCTCATCCGAACCACCACAAGATACTACATACAATCACCAGTACCCTACAAAAGATAAAGTGTACAGGTCACCTTTGTTAAAAGGTGTGTGTGTGTGATTCATATGCATATATGTATTTGCAGAATACATGAATGCAGGTGCATGTGTGTTTATGGAGTCTAGGTTGACACCAGGTGTCTCCCCCCCCCCTAAATTTCAGGATTTAACCTAATCTCTTAATTTGAGTTAATAATTTCTCTGGTTGGACATACGTTTACAGATTTTTACTATCACAGACACCTGAACGATAACATATATTATTACCACGCCAGGCAGTCTTATAAAAAGAGAACTCTGAATTTACACAACCACCCCTAGAAGTAATTCACTAGTTTCAATCCAGGTAATGGAACCAAGTACAAAAACTAAGTCGGGACAATACAGACGGGCTCTGAAGATGAAACGAGAGGATTATTACTGCAAGAGAAGGATCTGATCTGTTTTTAAAGCAGGGTATTATTTAAGCCTAGGAAAGTGTTTGGCCACCGCCAAGCCCTCTGTTGTAACAGGTATGGGCGCGGAGAATTAGCACACGATCATTTTAACAAGGTAATGAAGCTGGTCCAGCACGTCGGGTGGAAGCGTCTGAGATAGGAAATGAACAATCTTGCCACCAGCGCTCTGCCAGCATTCCCCCTGCCGCGCCTTTGCTCCCGCACTCCCGATGGCCCAAGCTGCCTTCTGGGTTTCTAGCTGCTGAAAGCCTGCATTCCCAGATCTGCCTTTCCCCGGGAACCTCACCTGGGGCACATTTTTCTCTTACGGGGTTCCTAAAGTCCCAAAGTTGGGACAGTTAAGTTTGCTTGTATTAATGCTCACCGTGTCCTAGGCGGCTCTAAATCTCAGGCTTTTATTTGTCCATCCGGCTTTGGAGCTGAAGTTGGAGGAGGGCAGCTAACATCCGGTTGCACGGAGGACACGGGGCTCAGGAGGAGTGGCGCGCCGCTGGCCCACCTGGACCTGGCGACCCTTCCCGTTTCCTGGCGGTGGTCGTGCAGTCACGGGGCCTGAGGACGGCGGCGGTGCGGGGTGAGCCACTGAAGGGGCTGAAGGTTCGATCCTTGGGACCGGTGCGGTGCGCAGACGGCCCTCGTCAGGCCAGCGCCCTGGGAACCTGCGGTGGGGATGGTCGGGAGCCCGGCTGCTCTGTAGTGGAAACTGCAATTGGTGGTCAGATTAGCAAACTGGCTCCTTTTCCGGTACAGCCAGCCATTAACGGCCTCGTCTGACAATGGGGAATACCGATCTCAAAAACCCCGTTCCCTGCTTCTTCCTGCTATTATTTATTAATTTTGAGCCATAGAGCTGCAACGCACCGAATGCTATGCAATATCCTGGTTTCGATCCAGAAACCGAAAGGAACGAACAAAAATCCTCGAGAAAAACAGAAGATCCACGGAAGTCTGTGGTTTAGTTGGTAACTGCACCGGTGGCTTGCTCTCAATTTTTGATGAATGTACCGAATGCTAAACTTGGAGGAATTTGAGTGGAGAATGTATAGGTCTAAGTCTTTGCAACTTATTAGAAATCTAAAATCATTCTAAGGTTAAAAGTTAGCATATAAAGCCCCACAGCAAGGTGAAGCGGCCTTGGCTCGCTGAAGAGGGCTAAGTTAGTTTTCTCCCCAGCAGGACAGGAAGTAGTAGGTAGTGTCTGTTTGATCAACTTGTTTGCTGAAGCAGTTGTCAGGCGAGTGGGGGTAGATCCTGCTGGCCTGTTTTCCCCCTTGGAATTTGTCCTCTCTCAATTCTCTTCAACAAATATCTTTTAGCATTTGTTAGGTGTGAGCAAATGAGACACGTTCCTTAAACTAGTGGGAGCCACGACCGTCTTAGGGTCAGAAAGGGACGTCATTGGATCGCATACTCGGCAGCGATGTATGTGTAGGGTGGCTTTGTAGCCAAAAGGAATCAGAAATTCAGCCAGGAAATTGAAGTGGAAAAGATAGGATTTGGGAAGATTTTTGTGAGTCTTGAAGCCTTAACAATTGAATGTATTCGAAGATCAAAGAAAATGTATTCCAGAGTTTTTCACTCAAGGGTTTTAGAACATGGTTGACACATTTTAGAACAAAGAGAACTCCAGAGGAGAGACCTGGATTCGGGGAGTGGGAAGAGGAGGAATTTGCTTTGAGCTGTATTTGAACAAGCCAAGTACTGAGCTGGAAATAATGTGTCTAAGAGCAGTAAACGCAAGGGCAGACTATACAGAAGGAACCAGAGGAATAAAAAAAGCCACGGAAGGCAGCTATGTGACCCTCTTGACAAAAGAGAGCTGCTTTATTTATTTATTATGTATACAATATATTATTCTATTATATGTGTATAATACTATATATATACACGTATTATGTATATAACATTCCTTCCACGTATGCTTGCATACCAGAAGAGGGCACCAAATCTCATTATAGATGGCTGTGAGCCACCATGTGGTTGCTGGGAATTGAACTCAGGACCTCTGGAAGAGCAGTCTGTGCTCTTAACCTCTGAGCCATCTCTCAGCTCCTGAGCTCCTGAGCTGCTTTCTTGCTTGGTTGAGAACTCCAGGTATCCCAGAGTCCTGATGTGAAGTTAAAGATTCATGTCTCCTACAGACTTGGAGAGAGAGGCTCGGGGTGAAGCTAGGTCTTGGAGTTAGCACTAGCAGTTCGCTCTTTTTCCGAGTTATTTTAGTGAAAAACAGGAAGATTGCCAGCAGTCTTTTCATGTGTCCTTTCTCAAGTGTCCAGAGGACTGGACAGGGAGCCAGATATGATTTCTGGTTCTGGTTATACCCACTGCCTACCTGTGTTATTTGGTCAAGTCATGTATGCTTGCAATAGGAAAATAGTTCTCAGTGAAAACAAATGAACTCTTTTATTTCTAGAAATACAAGTAGGGTGGAGAAGTACCCTTTGCAAAATGCTGATACAGAAATAGAAGTATAATAAATACTCCAAAGAAAAAAATTCCAAGCCAGTGCTTGGAAGACAGAGGCAGGTCAATCTCTGTGAGTTCAAGGCCAGCCTGGTCTATACTGAGTGAGTTCCAGGAGAACCAAGGCTATACAGAGAAACCCTGTCTTGAAAAAACAAAAACTTATATGTAATCTCACTCAATAAGTAGGTATACCGGTGCACAAATCCTTCCTTTGGGGGCATTTAAGCAATCTTTCTTCCACAGTCTCTTGAATACTAGGTCAGACACCATCAAGCTGGCTTGATACTCAATTAATAAAATTCAGATTATTTATTTGACTAGTGTAGCTGATCTCAGATATATACCCAATGGTGCTCCAAATGCCCCTGTCCAGTCATTCTACTTAAACTCATTCTGGAGCCATTGACTCAGTCAGGATCCGAGATCAGCAGCTAAGAATTTGCGCTCAGACTCCCAAGGCAGCACTTTCCTTATTCCACATCCTGCTGTCACCCCAGTTGATATCAAACATATTAAACTCACCAGAAGGCTTGTAATTCTGTAGACGGATTTTTCTTTGATCCATCAGCTCACAGAAAACGACACAGATACTTATTATTAATTATGAAAGCTTGGCCTATAGCTTAGGCTTATCCCACTAGGTCTTATCATTTAAATTAACCCGTTCATATTAGTCTACATTTTGCCTTGTCATTTTTTTTAAGATTATTTATTATGTATACCATATTCTCAGTATTCTGTCTGCATGTATGCCTACAGTCCAGAAGAGGGCACCATTTCTCATTACAGATGGTTGTGAGCCACCATGTGGTTGCTGGGAATTGAACTCAGGACCTTTGGAAGAACAGGCAGCCATCTCTCCAGTCCTGCCTTGTCATTTTTTATGTCTCTTTCAACTTGCACTCCCTATTTCCTCTCAGTGCCTTCTAGCATCTCTCCTGTGCCTAGATTCATCTCCCCTTCTTTTTTCTCTGTCCAGAAATCCTGCCTACCTCTTCCTGCCTAGCTATTGACCATTCAACTCTTTATTAAACCAATCAGAAGGCTTTGGCAAAGGCACATCTTCAGTGTGCAAAAAGATTATCCTACAACATAATTCTAAAAAGTAATGTGTCCCCAAAGTAAAGCTTGTTTTTTCCTATCACATTTGAATACTACACAGCCAATGCCCATCAAAGTCACATTTAGAAAAAAACCATTAGAGGACTGGAGAAATGGCTCAGAGGTTAAGAACACTGACTGCTCTTCCAAAGGTCCTGAGTTCAATTCCCAGCAACCAACCACATAGTGACTCACAACCATCTGTAATGAGATCTGGCATCCTCTTCTGGCCTGCAGGCATGCATGCAGACAGAACATTGTATACATAATAAATAAATAAATGTAAAAGAAAAAGAAAGAAAAAACATTAGAGCCAGAAGGTGTTGGCACACACCTTTAGTCTCAGAACTCAGAAGGTAGAAGCGGAGCAGACACATCTCTGAGTTCAAGACAGCCTGGTCTACAGAGCGAGTTCCAGGATGACCAGGGGCTAAACAGAGAAACACTGTCTTGGGGCAAGGGCATTAGAGAGGGATATAGTGTAGTGGCAAAGCCTTTACCCTTTATGCACCAGGCTTTGGGTTCAATTCCCCTCTTCTAAACAAAACAAAACCCCCACCAAAGCAATAGCATAGATAGGAAAACTCATTATATTCAGCAAGGCAATTCACTCCGTATGAATACGTGGGTACATTAACAGATGTTCTTGAGCTGGTGAGCTGGGCATGGTGCTACTCTCCTATAATCCCAGGAGTTTTATCAAAAGTTTAAGGCCACCTGAGCTACATAACAAGTACCCAGGCCAGCCAGAGTTACATAGGAAGAGCCTGCCTTGAAAAGAAAAGAATCTTGCCCAATATGGCCAGGAGTGATTGCAATTCCAGCATTCAAGAGACAGGCTAAGACCCCAAGTTCAAGGTCAGCCTGGGCTGCGCAGAAATCTAGAACACGTCTCAGAAAACAAAAATCGCAGCAAATCCTTAAACTGGATGTGTTGATACACACCTGATGTGTTGCACACACTGGATGTACTGATATACACTTGTGTTGTTCACACTGAATGTGCTGATGCACACTTGGTGTGTTGATGCACACTTGATGTGTTGATACACACTGGATGTGTTGACGCACACTTGTGTTGTACACACTGGATGTGCTGGTGCACACTTGGTGTGTTGATGCACACTTGTGTTGTGCACACTGGATGTGTTGGTGCACACTTGGTGTGTTGATGCACACCTGATCTGTTGATGCACATTGGATGTGTTGATGCACACCTGATGTGCTGATGCACACTTGTGTTGATGCACACTGGATGTACTGATGCACACTTGTGTTGTGCACACTGGATTTGCTGATGCACACTTGTGTTGTGCACACTGGATTTGCTGATGCACACTCATTTGATATGTTGATGCACAGTGGATGTGCTAATGCACACTTGGTGTATGATTGCACACTTTGTGTGTTGTGCACACTTGATGTGTTGTGCACACTTGGTGTGTTGTACACACTTGGTGTGTTGATGCAGTACTCAGGAAGTAGATTCAGGATGATTGCAACTTTGAAGCCAGTCTGTACCACACAACAAATTTGAAATCAGCCTAGACTGTATTAACAGGATCTTATCTCAGTAAACAAAACAAAACACCTTGTCTCGCTCTGTGGTTATCCATGGTTTACTCTCAGAGACTTCCTTTCCCCTGGTATTGACCAGTTCTGTCTTCTTTGTTGCTAGGCAAACTTTCTATCAGTGAGCCTCATTCTTAGTGAAGGCGCAAAATTGCATTTATCGAGCAGGACTCTATAGTAGGGGTAAATGTAGTCTCCCAAGACATTATTCTTTGGTTCATTAAATAATTTCCCATCGGGCTGGAGAGATTGCTCAGAGGTTAAGAGCACTGGCTGCTCTTCCAGAGGTCTTGAGTTCAATTCCCAGCAACCACATGGTGGCTCACAACCATCTGTAATGAGATCTGGCGCCCTCCTCTGGCGTGCGGGCATATATCGAGGCAGAATGTTGTATACATAATAAATAAATCTTAAAAAAAAATAATTTCCCATCTACCTTGACAAGTAAGTTAAAATAGATTAAAAACAAGACAAAAACACACTTGTGGGTGTCAGAGGATGACATTAAACTTTTAAAAAAATAATTTATTTTTATTTGCATTAGTGTTTTGCCTATATGCATGCCCGTGTAACGGTATCAGATCTTGTAGTTACAGACAGTTGCTAACTGTCATATGGATGATGCTAGGAATTGAAGCCAAGTCCTATGGAAGAGCAGTCAGTGCTCTAAACCCCTGAGCCACCTCCCTAGCCTTGACCGTAAACATCTAATCCTCCTGCCTCTACCTCTTGAGTGTCATGTACTGCCACACCAGAACCGTTGAATGTTGGGAGACCAGCCCAGGTCTGCTGCACACTATCCCAGCAGCAGACCCTATCCCCAGATGTCCTTTTAAAGAAAATAACCATGCCTTTTTATAAAGGGGCGGTGACTGTAAAAACTGGAAAAGAATGACGCTAATAAGCTGCTTTCGGTGGTTCTCTGCTTCACTGCTCTGGGTTTTTATTCTGCTTCTGCAAGTTCTTGTGTATCCCATTGATACACAACAGTAGAAGACTTGTCGTCAGGCTGGAGGCTCCAAAGACCATCGCTACTCTTGTCTGCTGCTCACCATGAAAGCCCTGTCCTTCTGGAGGGAAGTCTTCTGTGAGAACGAAGTTCTCTGAGGAAAGCACTTAGGACACAGAAAGCCAGCGTTCCCTCCTGAGCACTGTGACATTTTGGTTCTTATTTTGTTTGTTTGTGCTTTTTTTCTTCCTTGTTTTTCTTCCCTTTTTTCCTTTCTT